ATATATATATATATATATATATATATATATATATTATATAAATATTATAAAATATTATTCAAATATATATATATATTTATATAGTAGTACTATAGTAGGAGTATTTTTCCCTAACATTAGTATAGTTCGATATTATGTGTACCATGACTGATATGTGATTTTCGTAAAATAATTATGTAGAATGCTTTATAACTCATACACTGGACAATTCTGTAAAACTTCATACAAATTAAACATTTGAAATTGTTAAGTGTCTACCAACTGTATCTGGTGCAAGCTTGTGGAATAACTGTTTGTCAATCAATCAATCAATCAATCAGTCGTTTTTGGGTAATGATTGTTATGGAATTCGACTTGGGAACTTATTTATGTAGTTTCTCATAGACCTTTCATTCTACTTATCTTTTTATGTTAGTGCTAAATGCTTGTGACAACAATGCTTGTCAGAATTCTGCTGCTTGTGTCCAGGTTTCTGGTTCCTGTACAGCATACACATGTACTTGTCCATCTTGCTACACTGGAACTTTCTGTGAAACATGTAAGTTTCTACTTATTAATGTGTAATAATATAATAATTACAAGCATAATCCGTATTCTGTGTAGTTAATATTTCTTAGATTTGGATTTTACTTTTCTTGGCTTACTGTCTGGTATGTAGCTAAAGTATATCTAGGTTTCTGGTTCCTGTATATTTTATAAATAAGTTGTTTAATTTTTTTGAACTGGACAATTCTGTAAAAAGCTACATTTTTTTTCTGAAAATATGTTTCAAATTTTATATAATATGTTACATGACAAAATATTAAAATACTTCACAAATTATCTAATAATGAAAGTCTGAAATTATTTTCAGCAGTCTATATCAAAGTTATGAATGTTTAACTTAATTCTATAGCCCAAGTTTTATGTATATTTATTATTGAGTTTTTGAAGCAAAATTGCTTGTTGAATGTTATGTGTATGTGTCAGTGTTTAATATTTGTTTCAGATGGGAGCTGTTTTGTTAGGACATGTTGTGTTTAATTTTGTTGCCTTTCTACTTTTTATATCAGTGTTGAATGCTTGCTCCAACAATGCCTGTCAGAATGGAGCTGCTTGTGTCCAGGTTTCTGGTTCCTGTACAGCATACACATGTTCCTGTCCAAATTGCTATACTGGACAATTCTGTGAAACATGTAAGTTTTCATAGTATAGATAGTACAAATTATAATTTTTAGTTCTGTGTACCTTGTTATATTATTTGTTTCATACATTTCTTGACTATTAAAATATTTGTTGATATGTTTTACTTGTATTTATCTCAGTGTTAAATGCTTATTACAACCATGCCTGTCAAAATGGAGTTGTCTTTATTTACACTTCTTTGTTTTAAAAGAAGAGACAAATTTGATAAAATGGTTACCACTGATTTTAACAAATTGAGCTCCACTGCTATTGGAATATTTTATTTTTCAGTGGTCAAAGTAAGAATATTTAAAATTTTAGAATTGTTGAGCTTTAGCTAAGTATTTTTTTAAATCAATATAATATTTATTGTTTTTAAATGATTTATATTAAATCAATAACATTGTGTATAACTTTATTCCAGTGTTAAATGCGTGCAACAACCATGCTTGTCAGAATGGAGCTGGCTGTGTCCAGGTTTCTGGTTCCTGTACAGCATACACATGTTCCTGTCCAAATTGCTATACTGGACAATTCTGTGAAACTTGTGAGTGTTTAGCTATTTTAATGATGTAGAATATGATGTTATTCATACAAATTAGAAATTTGAAATTGTTACGTCTCTACCAACTGTACCTGGTGCAAGCTTGTGGAATAACTGTTTTCAATCAATCAATGGATTTTGGGTAATGATAGTTATGGAATTCTACTTGGGTACTTATTTATTTAGTTTCTCATAGACCTTTCATTTTACTTATCTTTTTATGTTAGTGCTAAATGCTTGTGACAACAATGCTTGTCAGAATTCTGCTGCTTGTGTCCAGGTTTCTGGTTCCTGTACAGCATACACATGTACCTGTCCATCTTGCTACACTGGAACTTTCTGTGAAACATGTAAGTTTCTACTGATTAATGTGTAATAATGTAATAATTACAAGCATAATCCATATTCTGTGTAGTTAATATTTCTTAGATTTGGATTTTACTTTTCTTGGCTTACTTTCTGGTATGTAGCTAAAGTATATCTAGGTGTCTGGTTCCTGTATATTTTATAAATAATTTGTTTAATTTTTTTGAACTGGACAATTCTGTAAAAAGCTACATTTTTTTTCCCTGAAAATATGTTTGAAATTTTATATAATATGTTGCATGGACAAAATATTAAAATACTTCACAAATTATCTAATAATGAAAGTCTGAAATTATTTTCAGCAGTCTTTATCAAAGTTATGAATGTTTAACTTAATTTTTTAGCCCAAGTTTTATGTATATTTATTATTGAGTTTTTGTAGCAAAATTGCTTGTTGAATGTTATGTGTATGTGTCAGTGTTTAATATTTGTTTCAGATTGGAGCTGTTTTGTTAGGACATGTTCTGTTTAATTTTGTTGTCTTTCTACTTTTTATATCAGTATTGAATGCTTGTAACAACAACGCTTGTCAGAATGGAGCTGCTTGTGTCCAGATTTCTGGTTCCTGTACAGCATACACATGTTCCTGTCCAAATTGCTATACTGGACAATTTTGTGAAACATGTAAGTTTTCATAGTATAGATCAGTGATTGCCCAGCTTTATATATCCTATGCAAAATAGTTTTTTTTGCTTTTTACATGTCATAGTATTTTACTTTTGACACGTATTAATTTTGGTTTCAAAATATTTCTAATTACTATTTAATATGTTTGTGTTTTTATATATCAGTATATTGTTGATAATCATGCATGCCAGTCCTTGTATCCAGGTTTCTGGTTCCTGTACAGTTTACATATTAGTCATTACATGGTTTACTTTTTCTTTATATCAGTGTTAAATGCTTGCAGCACCAATGCCTGTCAGAATGGAGCTGGCTGTGTTCAGGTTGCTGGTTCCTGTACAGCATACACATGTTCCTGTCCAAATTGCTATACTGGACAATTCTGTGAAACTTGTGAGTGTTTAGCTATTTTAATGATGTAGAATATGATGTTATTCATACAAATTAGAAATTTGAAATTGTTACATCTCTACCAACTGTACCTGGTGCAAGCTTGTGGAATAACTGTTTTCAATCGATCAATGAATTTTGGGTAATGATAGTTATGGAATTCGACTTGGGAACTTATTTATGTAGTTTCTCATAGACCTTTCATTCTACTTATCTTGTTATGTTAGTGCTAAATGCTTGTGACAACAATGCTTGTCAGAATTCTGCTGCTTGTGTCCAGGTTTCTGGTTCCTGTACAGCATACACATGTACCTGTCCATCTTGCTACACTGGAACTTTCTGTGAAACATGTAAGTTTCTACTGATTAATGTGTAATAATATAATAATTACAAGCATAATCCGTATTCTGTGTAGTTAATATTTCTTAGATTTGGATTTTACTTTTCTTATCTTACTTTCTGGTATGTAACTAAAGCATATCTAGGTTTCTGGTTCCTGTATATTTTATAAAAGAAGTTGTTTAATTTTTTTGAACTGGACAATTTTGTAAAAAGCTACATTTTTTTTTTGAAAATATGTTTCAAATTTTATCTAATATTTTGCATGGACAAAATATTAAAATACTTCACAAATTATCTAATAATGAAAGTCTGAAATTATTTTCAGCAGTCTTTATCAAAGTTATGAATGTATAACTTAATTTTTTAGCCCAAGTTTTATGTATATTTATTATTGAGTTTTTGTAGCAAAATTGCTTGTTGAATGTTATGTGTATGTGTCAGTGTTTAATATTTGTGTCAGATTGGAGCTGTTTTGTTAGGACATGTTCTGTTTAATTTTGTTGTCTTTCTACTTTTTATATCAGTATTAAATGCTTGTAACAACAACGCTTGTCAGAATGGAGCTGCTTGTGTCCAGGTTTCTGGTTCCTGTACAGCATACACATGTTCCTGTCCAAATTGCTATACTGGACAATTCTGTGAAACATGTAAGTTTTCATAGTATAGTACAAATCATAATTTTCAGTTCTGTGTAACTTGTTATATTATTTGTTTCATACATTTCTTGACTATTAAAATATTTGTTGATATGTTTTACTTGTATTTATCTCAGTGTTAAATGCTTGTAACAACCATGCCTGTCAGAATGGAGTTGTCTTTATTTACACTTCTTTGTTTTAAAAGAAGAGACAAATGTAATAAAATGGTTACCACTGATTTTAACAAATTGAGCTCTACTGCTATTGGAATATTTTATTTTTCAGTGGTCAAAGTAAGAACATTTAAAATTTTAGAATTGTTGAGCTTTAGCTAAGTATTTTTTTAAATTAATTATATTTATTGTTTTTAAATGATTTATATTAAATCAATAACATTGTGTATAACTTCATTCCAGTGTTGAATGCTTGTAACAACAATGCTTGTCAGAATGGCGCTGCCTGTGTCCAGGTTTCTGGTTCCTGTACAGCATACACATGTTCCTGCCCAAATTGCTACACTGGACAATTCTGTGAAACTTGTAAGATGTTAATGTGTTTCTCTCTCTCTCTCTCTTTCTTTCTCTGATAGCTTAGTGTATAATACATCTGTAACATAACATAGCCTGTTATATGAGGTTTGTCAGTGTACTGTTGCTAATTATTAAACTGAATAATTAGTATAAGAATGTAGCAGTATTGTATACTTTAGTACAGAGAAGCAGTAAGTCTTTATTCCTAACTTTTACAAAAGCAAGTCAATTTCAGTAAATGGCCCATTAATTTAAAACTTACAATAATGAAAATAAAAATATAAAGGAAAAGAAAATTTTTTGTTCATTTTTTGGTCACTAATGGTGGTATTGGGATGGCAAACCTCATACCTTAAGCTGGGTACTCACTGTGCGCAACGGCGATGTGACGTCAAAGCGAAGACGAACCCATGTGACGGCGCGGAACCAACGGATTGAGGATCAGCAGACGGCGTTACAACGTCTATCGCTCTCCGGAAGCTTAGGTGGATTCGTTGTGCGACGGTAATATGACCGTCGTTCGACGCAGTGATTGCCCAGCTTTATATATCCTATGCAAAATAGTTTTTTTTGCTTTTTACATGTCATAGTATTTTACTTTTGACACGTATTAATTTTGGTTTCAAAATATTTCTAATTACTATTTAATATGTTTGTGTTTTTATATATCAGTATATTGTTGATAATCATGCATGCCAGTCCTTGTATCCAGGTTTCTGGTTCCTGTACAGTTTACATATTAGTCATTACATGGTTTACTTTTTCTTTATATCAGTGTTAAATGCTTGCAGCACCAATGCCTGTCAGAATGGAGCAACTTGTGTCCAGGTTGCTGGTTCCTGTACAGCATACACATGTACCTGTCCATCATGCTACACTGGACAATTCTGTGAAACTTGTGAGTTCTATATTTTAAATTTTAACATTATTGACTACTAACTACTATCCTTAAGAATTGACTGTATTTTTTGAGTATTTGTACCAATAACTGATGAAATAAATTTATGCACCTAGATCATTATTTTATTTATTATCAACATTAATTATTATTGTTAAAACGGATGAATTTCTAAGGTAAGTTAATATTACTTTTACTATTGTTATTCCTATCAATATAATTAATTGGAATATGCTCGGATATTGGTGTCAAACAATAGAATTATGATGTTTTTTTAAAATATCAGTGTTAAATGCATGTAACAACAATGCCTGTCAGAATGGAGCTGCCTGTGTCCAGGTTTCTGGTTCTTGTACAGCCTACACATGTTCCTGCCCAAACATAAAACTACTGTATAATATGCATTACTTTTTTTTGTTAATTTTATCTTTAGTATTTCAACTTTATGTATCAGTATTGGATGCATGTGTGTAACAACCATGCTTTGAGAATTGAGGTGCTTGGTTTCTGGTTCCACACATGTTCTTTACATTGCGCAGTTTTGTGAAACTTGTCAAAATCATTTGTATAATATATTTTTTAACTCTTATCAAATATGTGTTGCTTAGGTTTGATATATTTTGCTTGTTTTTTATCAGTGTTAAATGCTTGTGACAACAATGCTTGTCAGAATGGAGCTGCCTGTGTCCAGGTTTCTATTTTGATTTAGATTTTATTTATCGAACATATATGTACTGTATTTTTTTAGTTTTGTATTACTCATGTTATCCTACATTTTTCTTTATATCAGTATTGAATGCTTGTAACAACAATGCCTGTCAGAATGGAGCTGCCTGTGTCCAGGTTTCTGGTTCCTGTACAGCTTACACATGTTCCTGTCCAAATTGCTACACTGGACAATTCTGTGAAACTTGTGAGTTTTTTCGTAGTATTTTTCATACATATCTTTATCTCAGATTCTTAGATATTTTAAACATAAACCTACTGCATATTATATGTTGGTTCTGTCTTGTCTATATTACCTTCAGTGTTTCTACTTTATGTATCAGTATTGGATGCATGTAACAACCTTGTTTCTGAGAATTGAGGTGCTTGTTTTCAGGTTTCTGTTTCCACACACATGTTCTCCCTTACTTTATCATTAAACAGTTCTGTGAAACATTTCTTGGTTCTTTTAAAATTTTTGTTTGATATGTTTTGCTTGTTTTTATATCAGTGTTGAATGCTTGTGACAACCATGCTTGTTTTCAGATTTCTGATTCCATACACATTTCTAACCTTCCTTCATCGTTAAGCAGTTTTTTATCAAACATGTTTTGATTCTTTTCAAAAATGTGTTTGATATGTTTTGCATGTTTTTTTTATCAGTGTTGAATGCTTGTGACAACAATGCTTGTCAGAATGGAGCTGGCTGTGTCCAGGTTTCAGGTTCCTGTACAGCATACACATGTTCCTGTCCAAATTGCTATACTGGACAATTCTGTGAAACATGTGAGTTTTCATAGTACAAATATCTTGATTCAGATTTATTTATGTGAGCTAAAATTAAATGTACTGTATTTTTCAGTCTGTCTTGTTCATGTTATCATAAATTTTTCTTTATGTATCAGTATTAAATGCTTGTAACAACAACGCTTGTCAGAATGGAGCTGCCTGTGTCCAGGTTTCTATTTTGATTTAGATTTTATTTATCGAACATATATGTACTGTATTTTTTTAGTTTTGTATTACTCATGTTATCCTACATTTTTCTTTATATCAGTATTGAATGCTTGTAACAACAATGCCTGTCAGAATGGAGCTGCCTGTGTCCAGGTTTCTGGTTCCTGTACAGCTTACACATGTTCCTGTCCAAATTGCTACACTGGACAATTCTGTGAAACTTGTGAGTTTTCGTAGTATTTTTCATACATATCTTTATCTCAGATTCTTAGATATTTTAAACATAAACCTACTGCATATTATATGTTGGTTCTGTCTTGTCTATATTACCTTCAGTGTTTCTACTTTATGTATCAGTATTGGATGCATGTAACAACCTTGTTTCTGAGAATTGAGGTGCTTGTTTTCAGGTTTCTGTTTCCACACACATGTTCTTCCTTACTTTATCATTAAACAGTTCTGTGAAACATTTCTTGGTTCTTTTAAAATTTTTGTTTGATATGTTTTGCTTGTTTTTATATCAGTGTTGAATGCTTGTGACAACCATGCTTGTTCAGATTTCTGATTCCATACACATTTCTAACCTTCCTTCATCGTTAAGCAGTTTTTTATCAAACATGTTTTGATTCTTTTCAAAAATGTGTTTGATATGTTTTGCATGTTTTTTTTATCAGTGTTGAATGCTTGTGACAACAATGCTTGTCAGAATGGAGCTGGCTGTGTCCAGGTTTCAGGTTCCTGTACAGCATACACATGTTCCTGTCCAAATTGCTATACTGGACAATTCTGTGAAACATGTGAGTTTTCATAGTACAAATATCTTGATTCAGATTTATTTATGTGAGCTAAAATTAAACGTACTGTATTTTTCAGTCTGTCTTGTTCATGTTATCATAAATTTTTCTTTATGTATCAGTATTAAATGCTTGTAACAACAACGCTTGTCAGAATGGAGCTGCCTGTGTCCAGGTTTCTGGTTCCTGTACAGCTTACACATGTTCCTGTCCAAATTGCTACACTGGACAATTCTGTGAAACTTGTGAGTTTTCATAGTATTCTCCGTACATATATTTTTTTGATATTGTAAACATAACCTACTGTATTATATTGTATGTGGTTTCTGTCTTGTCCATGTTACCTTCAATGTTTCTACTTGGATGCATGTGACAACCATGCTTGTTTTCAGATTTCTGATTCCATACACATTTCTAACCTTCCTTCATCGTTAAGCAGTTCTGTCAAACTTGTCAAAATCATTTTTATCATACATGTTTTGATTCTTTTCAAAAATGTGTTTGATATGTTTTACTTGTTTTTTTTATCAGTGTTAAATGCTTGTAACAACAACGCTTGTCAGAATGGAGCTGGCTGTGTCCAGGTTTCTGGTTCCTGTACAGCTTACACATGTTCCTGTCCAAATTGCTATACTGGACAATTCTGTGAAACATGTGAGTTTTCATAGTACAAATATCTTGATTCAGATTTATTTATGTGAGCTTAAAATTAAATGTACTGTATTTTTCAGTCTGTCTTGTTTATGTTATCATAAATTTTTCTTTATGTATCAGTATTGAATGCTTGTAACAACAACGCTTGTCAGAATGGAGCTGGCTGTGTCCAGGTTTCTGGTTCCTGTACAGCTTACACATGTTCCTGTCCAAATTGCTACACTGGACAATTCTGTGAAACTTGTGAGTTTTCATAGTATTCTCCGTACATATATTTTTTTTATATTGTAAACATAACCTACTGTATTATGTTGTATGTTGTTTCTGTCTTGTCCATGTTACCTTCAATGTTTCTACTTGGAAGCATGTGACAACCATGCTTGTTTTCAGATTTCTGATTCCATACACATTTCTAACCTTCCTTCATCGTTAAGCAGTTCTGTCAAACTTGTCAAAATCATTTTTATCATACATGTTTTGATTCTTTTCAAAAATGTGTTTTTGATATGTTTTACTTGTTTTTTTTATCAGTGTTAAATGCTTGTAACAACAACGCTTGTCAGAATGGAGCTGGCTGTGTCCAGGTTTCAGGTTCCTGTACAGCTTACACATGTTCCTGTCCAAATTGCTACACTGGACAATTCTGTGAAACTTGTGAGTTTTCATAGTATTCTCCGTACATATATTCTTTTGATATTGTAAACATAACCTACTGTATTATATTGTATGTTGTTTCTGTCTTGTCCATGTTACCTTCAATGTTCCTACTTGGATGCATGTGACAACCATGCTTGTTTTCAGATTTCTGATTCCATACTTATTTCTAACCTTCCTTCATCGTTAAGCAGTTCTGTCAAACTTGTCAAAATCATTTTTATCATACATGTTTTGATTCATTTAAAAAATGTTTGTGATATGTTTTACTTGTTTTTTTTTTTTATCAGTGTTGAATGCTTGTGACAACAATGCTTGTCAGAATGGAGCTGGCTGTGTCCAGGTTTCAGGTTCCTGTACAGCATACACATGTTCCTGTCCAAATTGCTATACTGGACAATTCTGTGAAACATGTGAGTTTTCATAGTACAAATATCTTGATTCAGATTTATTTATGTGAGCTTAAAATTAAATGTACTGTCTTTTTCAGTGTGTCTTGTTCATTTTATCATAAATTTTTCTTTATGTATCAGTATTGAATGCTTGTAACAACAATGCCTGTCAGAATGGAGCTGCCTGTGTTCAGGTTTCTGGTTCCTGTACAGCTTACACATGTTCCTGTCCAAATTGCTACACTGGACAATTCTGTGAAACTTGTGAGTTTTCATAGTATTCTCCGTACATATATTTTTTTGATATTGTAAACATAACCTACTGTATTATATTGTATGTTGTTTCTGTCTTGTCCATTTTACCTTCAAGGTTTCTACTTGGATGCATGTGACAACCATGCTTGTTTTCAGATTTCTGATTCCATACACATTTCTAACCTTCCTTCATTGTTAAGCAGTTCTGTCAAACTTGTCAAAATCATTTTTATCATACATGTTTTGATTCTTTTCAAAAATGTGTTTGATATGTTTTACTTGTTTTTTTTATCAGTGTTAAATGCTTGTAACAACAACGCTTGTCAGAATGGAGCTGGCTGTGTCCAGGTTTCAGGTTCCTGTACAGCATACACATGTTCCTGTCCAAATTGCTATACTGGACAATTCTGTGAAACATGTGAGTTTTCATAGTACAAATATCTTGATTCAGATTTATTTATGTGAGCTTAAAATTAAATGTACTGTCTTTTTCAGTGTGTCTTGTTCATTTTGTCATAAATTTTTCTTTATGTGTCAGTATTGAATGCTTGTAACAACAACGCTTGTCAGAATGGAGCTGGCTGTGTCCAGGTTTCTGGTTCCTGTACAGCTTACACATGTTCCTGTCCAAATTGCTACACTGGACAATTCTGTGAAACTTGTGAGTTTTCATAGTATTCTCCGTATATATATTTTTTGATATTGTAAACATAACCTACTGTATTATATTGTATGTTGTTTCTGTCTTGTCCATGTTACCTTCAATGTTTCTACTTGGATGCATGTGACAACCATGCTTTTTTTTCAGATTTCTGATTCCATACACATTTCTAACCTTCCTTCATCGTTAAGCAGTTCTGTCAAACTTGTCAAAATCATTTTTATCATACATGTTTTGATTCTTTTCAAAAATGTGTTTGATATGTTTTACTTGTTTTTTTTATCAGTGTTAAATGCCTGTCTCTTATACACATCTAGATGTGTATAAGAGACAGTTGCTATACTGGACAATTCTGTGAAACATGTGAGTTTTCATAGTACAAATATCTTGATTCAGATTTATTTATGTGAGCTTAAAATTAAATGTACTGTCTTTTTCAGTGTGTCTTGTTCATTTTATCATAAATTTTTCTTTATGTGTCAGTATTGAATGCTTGTAACAACAACGCTTGTCAGAATGGAGCTGGCTGTGTCCAGGTTTCTGGTTCCTGTACAGCTTACACATGTTCCTGTCCAAATTGCTACACTGGACAATTCTGTGAAACTTGTGAGTTTTCATAGTATTCTCCGTATATATATTTTTTGATATTGTAAACATAACCTACTGTATTATATTGTATGTTGTTTCTGTCTTGTCCATGTTACCTTCAATGTTTCTACTTGGATGCATGTGACAACCATGCTTTTTTTCAGATTTCTGATTCCATACACATTTCTAACCTTCCTTCATCGTTAAGCAGTTCTGTCAAACTTGTCAAAATCATTTTTATCATACATGTTTTGATTCTTTTCAAAAATGTGTTTGATATGTTTTACTTGTTTTTTTTATCAGTGTTAAATGCTTGTAACAACAACGCTTGTCAGAATGGAGCTGGCTGTGTCCAAGTTTCTGGTTCCTGTACAGCATACACATGTTCCTGTCCAAATTGCTACACTGGACAATTCTGTGAAACATGTGAGTTTTCATAGTACAAATATCTTGATTCAGATTTATTTATGTGAGCTTAAAATTAAATGTACTGTCTTTTTCAGTCTGTCTTGTTCATGTTATCATAAATATTTCTTTATGTGTCAGTAATGAATGCTTGTAACAACAACGCTTGTCAGAATGGAGCTGGCTGTGTCCAGGTTTCAGGTTCCTGTACAGCATACACATGTTCCTGTCCAAATTGCTATACTGGACAATTCTGTGAAACATGTGAGTTTTCATAGTATTTTTCATACATATCTTTTGCATTAGGTTTTTTGATTTTTAAACGTGAACCTACTACATAGTATTTGTTGTTTCTGTCTTCTCCATGCTACCTTCAGTGTTTCTACTTTATGTATCAGTATTGAAAGCATTTAACCACCATGCTCTGTGAGTTTTCATAGTATAGATACTATAGACCATAATTTTAACTAATATGAACATTTACTATTATTATTATTATTATTATTATTGTTTTTATTATTAATATTCTTATCAAAAAAGAACAATTTCAATTTTTTGTAGTAAAAAGTGGACAATAAAGTAATATTAATTTTAATATAATATTTCTATCAATATCATTAATTAGAATATTCTCAAATAGTGGTGTCATACAATAAAATTATAATTTTTTTTTGTATCAGTGTTGAATGCATGTAACAACAACGCTTGTCAAAATGGAGCTGGCTGTGTCCAGGTTTCTGGTTCCTGTACAGCATACACATGTTCCTGTCCAAATTGCTACACTGGACAATTCTGTGAAACATGTGAGTTTTATAGTTGTTTTCGTACACATTTTTCACTTTAGATTATGTGATTATGTGAAAGCAGTGGTGGTTATGTTTCTGATAAAAATTATTATGAATTTAAATATTAAAATTCTGTCGATTATAAAATTTTCTTTGATTCTTTCAACATCAGAGACATACATTGCACAAGTATTTAGAGGTCTAAAGATTTTTAGTTAATTCTATGATTTTTAGTGTAGAGTGCTTGTATCACCAATACCAATATATGAAATAAATTACGCATCCTGAAAATAAGACTTATGTTGGTTTCTTTAATCCAGCTTTTTCAATTTTATTTCACTCTTGAATATCAGTGTTGAATGCTTGTTCCAACAATGCTTGCCAGAATGGAGGTGCTTGTGTCCAGGTTTCTGGTTCCTGTACAGCATACACATGTTCCTGCCCGAATTGCTATACTGGACAATTCTGTGAAACTTGTGAGTTTTCATGTACAAATATCCCGATTAAGATTTTTTTTTATTGAACTTAAGTGTACTGCATTTCTTTTTTAGTCTGTCTTGTTCATACTATCATATGTTTTTCTTTATGTGTCAGTATTAAATGCCTGTAACAACAACGCTTGTCAAAATGGAGCTGGCTGTGTCCAGGTTTCTGGTTCCTGTACAGCTTACACATGTACTTGTCCATCATGCTACACTGGACAATTCTGTCAAACATGTAAGTTTCTGTTTTTACCCCTTATTTGAACATTCTTTGTGTCTACGAGGGAGAATAAGAACATTTTTACTATATATATGTTATAATTCAATTTCAATCATTTTTTATACTTACCTAGATGTAAACCATTTATTGCTAATTTTTTATAACGGGAACATTCCTAAATAATAGGAAAAAAAACATTGATTCCAATTCGCCATATCGGTTGTACCGGGAAGTCATGTGATTAGAACTGACCTAAAAGAAACATGCTCGCATTCCTACTGGTTTTGAAAGCCTTTGTCAAAAAAACATAAATTTTCATATAATAATAATTGTATTTATGCTGTTTATCAACAGCGACAAACAACAGCTAATTTGCCTAAATATCACGCCAATGATATCTGTTAACACCGATGCGATGCGGATGTAACTTTGTAGATCATCGCGGTTACTGATCTGTTATGCGGAGTTACTAACTCCTTTTTCACGGCCACTTAACACCTATATTAACGCGGTGATCTCTTGCCATGTAAACAAGGCTAATGCTGATTGTACGGTACCCTCATTCATTTTTTTTCTTCTATATTCTTTTACAGTGTTGAATGCTTGTGACAACCATGTTTGTCAGAATGGAGCTGGCTGTGTCCAGGTTTCTGGTTCCTGTACAGCATACACATGTTCGTGCCCAACATGCTACACTGGACAATTCTGTGAAACTTGTGAGTTCATTACCCAAAATAATCAAATACTGGAATTTTTGATCATAATAGAATTAAAACATAACTTATTTAACAGTGGTGGTTATGTTTTTGATTGTACATTGTACAATTATGAACGAATGAATGCATTCATGAATCAACAATTGGTTTGGTTACCTGTACAAGAAGCATCTCCAATGAAATAATAAATGAAATATATTTCTTTAACAGTATTGAATGCTTGTACAAACAATGCCTGTCAGAATGGAGGTGGCTGTGTGCAAAATGCAGGTTCCTGTACATCTTACACATGTTCCTGCTCGAATTGCTATACTGGACAATTCTGTGAAACATGTAAGTCACTTGTGAAAGCACACATTTTGTCCTAATTAATACTTTCACAACAAATAGCTTCACCAAGTTAACACAATTTAAATAAAATATTGTACAATTTATATTCAATTGATAACATGCTATGAAATTTTAACCCGTAGTGCTCAATGCTTGTTCCAACAATGCTTGTCAGAATGGAGCTGGCTGTGTCCAGGTTTCTGGTTCCTGTACAGCATACACATGTACCTGTCCATCATGCTTTACTGGACAATTCTGTCAAACATGTAAGTGTCTGTATCAATGTTGATTTGTGTCTTAAGCTAACCTGGCCTTTTTCCACCCGGCCTATTGCCACCCCTCCTTTTGCCACCCAGCCATTTGCCACCCTAGGCTCCTTGCCACCAGGCCTCTTGCCACCCAACCTTTTGCCACCCGGCCCGTTGCCTCCTAATCCCGTTGCCACCATCTGTTGAAAATCATAACATCCTTAGTTTTTTTCATTGATTGGTGGTTCAGAAGACAAAACATCCTCTTTCTTCTCTTTCTTCTTGATTTGTTTAAAAAATTTAAAATATTCTTAACTCTTCTCCTTGATTCAGTGGCACCAGCAGGAGGAAGGGAAATTCCCCAGCCTTCGTCAGATAGGCTTAGACCCCATCGTCTGATGCCATGACCTGTCTGGCCAACAATGTTAACTGGCCTATCCAAAACATTATTTTGATTGCCAATCCCTAATATTGTGGTCTAAAAGCACAATTTCTGGCCATACTAAGCCATAAAAACACTCCCCTTGAACCCTACCAGGAATTTTTTTTTTTTCCGGTACCTTTATCGAAGTTTTAGTTGGCCCACCGTTGCAAATTTCTGGAGCCACCACTGTTCTGATTAGGTGGTTGTTGGAAAATTTAAACATCATAAATTTGCTTGGTTTATGTATTAAACAGCATTTATCATCTTACATCCATCCTTGCATGTTAATTTTTGAGAATAGTCAAAATGCTCTTAAAAAGCATTTATAACCTTAAATACCTTGTTTAAATTAGCAACATTTAAAATACTTTTTGAAAGCATTTATCACTCCCCATTCCCAGCAAGATTTCAGTTAAGAAAAATCTGATTTTTATATATGTTATAAAGATTTATAAATGTAATACGAAATTGCTAATTCAACTGAACTTAGACATTTTTAAACATGAAAAAAAATGTAAAATTAGAGAGGATGCACTTGATTGACTATAAAGTATACATATAAGCGAGAGCATTCCAGCGGATGTGATCTACAACCTCTGAATTTGCCTAATAACAAAGAATTCATTGAGAAAATGGTAATCTCCTATGAGAAATAGTCTGTATTTCTCATTTTTTAAATTCTTTTGCGGAAAACTAAAATTTATGCCAATATTTTTCCATTGTTTGTAATAAATAGAGTAATGCATATGCATTATTTTTTTTTTTAAATCTCTTTCAGTGAAATTTTGCCGGGAATGGGGATTTAAAGTTTGCATGTGTAGATTTTGTTTAGTACTGTCTGCTGTTGTTTGCTTTAACTCCTGTCCACACTATCAAATTTTATTTGACAAAGACATGTAACATGCCTAAATATGGTCATGATGACATCACATCATGACCATAAATAGGCACATCATGACTTTATATGGGCGTGCAACAATTTTTTTCACAAAGAAAATTTGATATTGTAAACAGAGCTTAAAACTATAGCAACTTTTATTATTAACACAGTACAGAAGTACACATTAACATGTTACTGTTAAAAATAGTATGATATTTTGTTCTTTTATTAATTGAAAAAATTAATTTGTGATGCTGTATTTCTAATCTTTAGCTGTTTCTGCATGTGATAACCACCAGTGTATGAATGGAGCCGTGTGTCAAACTGTAGGCAGTGGATGTATCACCTACTCTTGTAGCTGCCCATTGTGTTTCACTGGCCAATTTTGCGAAACATGTAAGAATTTGCATTTCTCTACTATGTCTTAAGCCGGGCACGCACTGCATCATACAACCATCGGTTGACAAATCCAACTCCGCTCCCTCTCAGCGTTAGGCCATGTGATGCTGTCTGCTGATTGTCGGTGGCAGCCCGAACATATCGACCATATCCATTGCGCTCACATCGTGGCATTGTGTTCTACATAGAATCACATTCGCCTGTCGGCCGCAGTTAGTGCCCAGCTTAACAAACTTTAGTAATAAGGAGCTTTTCGATTGCACGACAACGGTAAGACGTAGAACGTAATGACGTCACTAAAAGTCCTCGCGCATGCCAGAACGTTAAGTTCTCCTCGTCGCATTTATCCTAGGACACAATTTGACCAAATCTATGTATGCATAGAAAGTAGGACGCTCGGTAGGATGGTCGCACATGAGTGATTCCGTTCAAGCGTTGCGTCTTGCGCAAATCGAAAGCTTCCTACCGTCAGTGAGCTGGCTGTGAGAGTAAGGCCGCCAACATTGGTTACTGCATTGTGCAGCCATTGCTATCATAACAATGTTTGTAGTCTTTATGTTCCTATCTGAAGTATGTTGGCTATTTTCTCATTTTATTTTTTTTTTGGAAAAAAATTATGAACTATGAATTATGATAATAATTTTTTGGATTAAATTGGCACTTAACTATAAACTATGGTCATTATTTTTGGCATTTACTTTTGGCATTATCAGCAGTTTGGTGTTGAGAAGATATACACAGATATATACTTTGACATTGTTTTTTTTTTCCCCAGCTTTAACGGCATGTACTAACAATGTTTGCCAGAATGGGGCCCAGTGTGTTGCAACTGGTGGTAGCTGCACTGCCTACACTTGCCAATGTTCAGGATGCTTTTCCGGTGCTTTCTGTTCTATTCGTAAGTCTCTAGGTCTATTTTGTGAATACTGTACTACCTGAATGAACCAATATTTTTGAGGCCTGTTACATAACATTGTTGCATTATATACACCATAGGTCATTATATTTAGAGGTAAGTTCCTAAAAGGAAACTGGCATATATATCGGTTCATCCAGGTAAGCATCTCATTCATACACCGACAACATCACTTTTTGAGTTTTGTAATAATAATTGTAATTAATTTTGTTAACAGATTTTCTAATTAGATGATATAAAGCTTAATTATAAATGTTGTATAATATTGAAATGCTTTTGTTTGTGTAGCTCTCAATGGTTGTGATGGAAGCCCATGTCAGAATGGAGGGGCCTGTACTTCTGGTAACGTCATCACTGGATGTAGTACATACACTTGTACATGTACTTCTTGTTACACGGGAACCAACTGTCAACAACGTAAGTACCACAATTATTGCACCCTCAATTTTTTTAAATATAAGGTAAAGGAATATTTCAAGTCTATTTTGTGAATTCTTAAATGAATAAACCAACTAATTGTCATTGTCGCTTTAAGAACACCCCTACAACAAAAATAGAACCTTCTGATCATCCCAGCACTACCAACATCACTTCTGATTGGTGTTTTAAGGGGGCCCTTGGCAAAAATTAATCTCGCTCACACCACCACATACCACCAAAGTGCTATAGCCTTCAAAATTAAGTTTGCACTAATCTGGAAGAAGAAGTTCTAATGTTGGGTCCGCATGGCGGCGGACTCAAGGAGTTCACTGCTGTTTTTGGTGTTGTTGTTACCAGAACTTTGAAAGCATCCAGCAGCGCCAATTTTGAACGGACGTGCAGGAAATTCTGTATGCATAAACTAGAGGGGACTTCCGACATTCATGGCCCTTTTTTTAAGTTGGATCCCAGAGTGCCCAATACACCTACAAAACAGAACAGGGATTTCAGCAAGGACTGTACATACTGCCATTACAACTAATAGGACACGTCGCATGGATGGCCCGGACATTTAACAATGTGTTTTATGGAACCAAATATCATGAGTTTAAATCACGTCTTGGTATTTTATTTTTTTTATTTTATTTTAAAACATTTTAATTTTGTACAAATGAACATTCTAATTATTTAAATATTCCTGTCTTTTTTTTTTGTCAAACAGTTTTCAAATATCTTAGAATGTTCCTTCCGTTCCTTACAACACAGTGTTAACTGACCGTGCCATTTTTGGAACGTGTCCTGTTAGTTGTAGTAATTAATGGCAATTATGAGCCCTTGCCAAAAACCCAATATAATAACTTGTACCTGTGTACCATATTATATTTTCTCCATGATTTCAGCATGTTTTAACAGTGTCAACAAAAAGCCTCGCCTGAAAGGCGCATACCCAAAATGTTAAACGCTGAATAGAAGTAACTTCAGTTTAACGGACAGACCTGTGAGCAGTCGATCTTGTTGACAATTTTTGCAATTTTTAAAGAGTTTCTTTTTAAAATATTTTATTGCACATGAGCAATAAACAGATTGGATGAATATATTATTACTTTCATGGGGTTGGCAGATAACCCCAAGTATTTATAATCAACTGTTTAATAACTCATAGGTTAAAATATTACCAAATATATATTGTATCTGATATGTTTTATTATATGTACAGGTCTTGAATCTGCTTGTACATCCATCAATCCATGCTTGAATGGAGGAACTTGTGTTGATGATGGCATTTGTGGCAGCACTTCTTATACCTGTAATTGTATAACTGGATGGACTGGTACTAACTGTCAATTAGGTAAGTTTTATAATATTATACAAATAATGAATATTTATGAGCGCAATGGGAAGAATATTTTAATGAGTTTAAAGATTGACTGTTCCACTGGACGAGGCAGAGCCGAAATGAATGGAACAGTCAATCTTTCAAAGAATGAAAGTATTCTTTCCATTGCGCAAATAAATAACATTCATTATTTGTTTTATAACGCACCTAAAATAGATTTTTTTCATTTTATATTTAATGAAAAAAATCTATCTTTTTTTTTCTTGTAGATTCTTGTAATTTGATAATTTTTAAAAAAGATCTTCCATTTTTCTAAATGGAACAGTGCAGTGTCTTTTTAACCAATGAATAGATTGTATTAGGTAGGCACCGTGCATGGAAAAAATGAATGGAAAAAAATGAATTTCAATGATCAAGTGACGAAATGGGGGTAAATAACCAAGGTCACATGATGCAAAATCCACCAATCAAATGACAGGGATCTATTTAGGTGTGTTATAATAAAGAACATTTCATGTCTTCAAACAGACTAATAAAGATACAATGGCCGTGTTCGATTGGTCGTTCTTTGTTAAACCATGCCCACCTGCGCAGAGGTGAAATCCTACTTAACGAAGACGACCAGTCAAATGGAAAACTTGTAAATGCATAGTTACCGCGATATACATGCTGCGTAGTCAAGATTGCTTCTGTTTGTGGCAGTATGGGTTTTTCATAAAAAAAGATATTTTCATCCAGTTTTTGAATTCTGTTAGCCTACAATTATTTTGTGACTTCAATGTGGGTAAATATTATAATTTTTATTTTCTGAAATTTAACCGAAATAATATTAACGCAAGTGTTGTTCCTAAGCTCACCGATCGGCAATGTTTGTTTTGGTCACGTGGATAACTTAACGCTGATTAACGCACTCTGGTTTATGTTAATTTTTGTCGAATGAAAATAATACTCAACGAAAAATCGTAGTCAATGAAATGAACCAGTCGAATACGCCAAATATGTATTTTATGACCAACAGGATATCTTTAATATTGATTATTATTAGGCTGCTTATCATATCCTTTTTTTCTTTATAATAGTGGTGACAGTGAATCCAAATCCATGTAACAGCTTCCCATGTTTGAATGGCGGTTCCTGCCTGACTATGGATGATACCTTCTACATCTGTGTTTGTCCAACAGGCTTCCTTGGCATCAACTGTCAAAGCCAAACAGGTAACTGATAAATACTTGTGATCTGCCCATATATGGGTATGATATGTGACAAAGACAGGCTAAACCAGTCACTAGTCGCAAAAATCAATAATTAGTTATTAATACAGGGTTAAAGAGTAACATTAGAGCTATAAAATGCTAAAAGAATCATTTAAATCCGACATTTAGTTATGAAGTTACAGGAGCTTAAACATACAGCTATGTAAAGAACAATATTTGAGAAATCAGCCTTTAAAGTTTACGATTTCAGGCTTTTCTTGGGCAGAAACTATCACCAAATCGTTAAAAATTGTTGTTTTAACATTGAAAATGAAGAAAACAACAGTATAGCATGTTATTTAAGGGTTAGTTTAGTGCAATAAAATACATTTCCAAAATTCCGACATTCCAGCATGTTTTGGCCATTAGCTCCAAAATATGATTTGCGACGAGTGACTGGTTTGGCTTGTCTTTGCCACATACGACATCATCATGCCCATATATGGGCAATTCACGCACATAAAATTTGATAGTTTGTTGTATGCCCATATATAGTCATGATGTGCCTATATATGGTCATAATGTGATGTGATCATGACCATATTTAGGCATGTATTTGATAGTCTGAACAGGGCTTTAGGTTGCTCTTCATGAGGATCTGTGTATGTGTTTCATTGTAATCCATCCATCCTTTAGATTTAAAGACATTGTTTAAAAAATGCTTTCTTAGTCAAGCTTTTGAGTATCATTATTGCTATTGTTATTATTACTCTAATCATTATTTTTATTATTGTTATTATTATAACTCCTTCATTATTATTTCCAGCATTTATACCAAGCTATGATGCATGTACAAGTACGACATGTTCTAATGGAGGTACCTGTTACAACAGTTATCGCAGCGATACTGGCTCCTTCAATCCTTATATTAACCAGTACACATGTGTTTGCCTGTCAGGCTTCTCAGGTCCCAACTGCCAGACAATTTTGACTACTGCAACATCTGGTATGATTATTCTTCAATAAAAGTTTTTGAATAAATAATATAAATATAATAAATGCAAGTCTCCCTCTAACTAAGGACCTCCTTTAATTGCAGACCACCTCCAATTAAAGACCAATTTTCTGTGGTCTGAAATGTCTTTTATCTTTATTATTCTAATTAGAGACCAAAGCTGCTAAAAACCATAGTAATCCTGGTCCCAAAAGTGGTCTTTAATTGGATGGAGATCTGTAATTAATATGCCATGGATTGCTGTTTTGACAGAGAAGTAAAACCAATTATAGCAAGAACATAGCGATATTGGAAAATGTTGCATCAAACATCATTTGGAATGTTTTACAGACTTACATCATGACCTCATGTCAAAACATTGAGCCTGGCACTCCCTGCGTTGTTGACGAATACAACTCCATTCCCTATGAGCGTTAGACAACGCTACGCCGTCTGCTCATTGTTGGTGACAGTCTTAACGGATCATCATTAAAGAACGATCCGTTGCGCGCTTCATCAATTCGCATCTGTCGTCGGCCGCAGTGAGTGCCAGGCTTTAGTGAACTCTCCAATTTGAGAGTGCCCTCTAATTCTGAGATCCCACTAATTTGGAAACACTTTTTCAAAGAACGAAAAATCAATGTTTTCTTTTTTCTTCAAGCTAACCCTTTAAGTTGAGACTAAACCCCAAGACCACCCAAAATGTTCAGGTCCCGAAGGTGGTCACAAATTGGAGGAAAAAATAGAAATATATATATA